TATTATTATTATTATTATTATTATTATTATTATTATTATTATTATTATTATTATTATTATTAATATTACTATTATTGTTGTTGTTGTTATTATTATTATTATTTTTGATTTTGCTATCATTTCATTCACTGCTTCAGAGTTCGCCGCTTTATTTGAGCGTTCATGAGAAGGAGACATCGCGTGAATTCGATATACACATGTTTATTTATTGCTCATTGGATATCATCGATGAGAAAGTGTTTGGTAACAGCAAGACCCAGGAGCTGTATCTTGGACCACTGATCTCTGATCAAAATTTCAAGGTTTTTCGATTAAATGCGTGATTAGTACTCAAAAAAATATACAGAGCAGTAGCTGAAAAATTAAAACGCCTAGTTATTTTTCCAGTCCTGAAAAAGCACTATTTTAATAATATTCTGAAAGTAACTTTCTTTTGCTCTCAGAAAGATTGCTAATTTTTGAAAATTCACTGATTTTCTGATCCTCGCAAGGCTACTGATTACTATTTTCCTAGCGTTTTGAAGTTGCACGTTGTTCTAGCTCCAGAACATCACGAAATATTCAAGTTTTTGAAGTTTTTTTGAATATGTGATTGCAACTCACTTATTTTCACTCCTCTTTTTTTTTCAACTTCTCTGATGTTGCTCTTATCTTTTTTTTTTTACTTCTTTGTTATTCTTATTTTCACTTATTTTAAGGTACTCTTATTTTATTTTTCATTTATTTTTTACTCTTATTTTTCACTTTTTTCACTTCTTTGTTCTTATTACTCTTATTTTTTTCCATTATTTTTTCACTTATTTTCTACTCTTATTTTTCACTTCTTTGCCCATATTTCTCTTATTTTTTTCACCCATTTTTTTTCATTTCACTTCTAAATTTTTCCAATTCTCTGATGTTACTCCTATTCATTTATAGTCGTTTGGTTATGTCACGAATACGAATATAAAAATGATTGTTGTAACAGAAGTTGGCAATACCTCGCTCAAAGATCAGGATATCCGTTCGGTGAGTGCTGTGTTTGCTAATTCACTTTTTTTCGCCAAACGAAATGTACTCGGGTTGTCGGAGTTCCGTTGTCTTTTTTGAAAATCACGAATTTGACCCTTATAATGATTTTTTTTAGATATTTAAACGGCTGCACAATGCCTATTGCAACTCGCTGTCGAATCCTTTCTATGTGCCCGGACAAGTTATCAAATCAAGGTAAACTTCCGTGTACCCTTTTTTTCTGTTGGTACTTTCAAGACCTTGAAATGAATATGTCAATTGGAAAAAAACAGTCTATTCCCAGTTTCTTGGAGGTTTTTTTTGTGGTGATTTAGCACTAACATATGCCAGAAAATCAGTCTTAAAGTTACTTTCAAGCAATCATAAAAGGGAAAATTTGATTTAAAAAAACGATGATTTCTGGTAAAAGAAGCCTGCTTTTCGAGCCACTTCTGAGCACCGTCGTTTCTCAGAAAGAATGAAATATAGAGCTATCTTTTACTGTGTTATTAATAGTTTACTTTTCATAGATTACTGAATTATGACGAAATTTTCGCACAAATGAACTATTTTCTAGGATATTGGACGAAACGGTCCAGGAAATTTTTACGATGTAACAGGATTTTTTTCCGGCCGGAATGTGTTTTTTGTGATATCGCTTGTTGGAGCTCTTCATGTACAGTTCTGTTATAATCGTATGTATTAGGCTAATAAATTTTTCCATCCACGGAACGTTTCCTTACGTCAACTCGATTTCGATATATAAAATTGTCTTTTATTTTACTTTTTTCCATTTTTTTCACTACATAAAATTTGTGGTCTTTTGAATCATAAGTTATTTTAAATATTGTTAGCCCTTGTATTTGAATTATTTATAGGTATGGATGATGATGCAGGATTCAGCGGGATTGTCAGGATTTCGAACGTCAGCGATTTCATTGCTCCTTCACAGGTAACCGATAAAAAAACTGAGACTTATCCCGTTTTAAAGATATTATATTTTTGGTTTCTAGTAAAATTTTTTCGATAGTTTCTTCTTATTTCTTAATTTATTTTGTTTTTGTTTTTTTTTTTTATTTTTGATCAAATTCTGACCCAAAATTCATTTTTGATCAAAAATTCCTTATTTTTAATCAGATTCTTGTTACTTACACTACATAGATTGCCCCTTATATATAGTTTATTCCTTTAGCTGCTGCGCTTTTTGATTTTCTTCGGCTAGTACTGCTTGATCTGTAGTCTCATCCTGCTCGCAGTCCTAACGTTCGTTTCGTCTTCTGAACAAAATTTCTAGGGCAAAGCTTCTTCCGGATGTTTCGAGATGTTCATATTTTGTATCGGCTATTATCGCGTTCCGAATTTCGCTTCCCTTGGACCAGGATCAGACACCTGCTAGCTAAGAATATTTGCTTAGTTTTTAAAATATTTGTATAAGCTTTGCCTTCAGGCATGCATTTTACCTCTGCAAACGAAAGAATCAGAAGTCGGTGAAGTACGAATACGAGGTAAATCGAAAGCTTCCACAGTTGGCAATGAGAGTGCGAAGAAGAAAGTGACAGTTACGTTGAATGATTGTTTAGCATGCAGTGGCTGCATTACAAGCGCCGAAACAGTACTCATCAAAGTAAGGACTTTGTGAAATTGAAAGAGGGCAAATTATGCATTATATAAGCCCCTTTTTCACTTGTTGTTGTCTAGTTATGCGTTTTTGTCGTGTTGCACCGCTCATATTGCGACGACCCTGTCTGTGTGTCTGTTCGTCATTCCGGGTATTTCTACTCGCCAAGCATGGAAGCTTTAATGCTGAAATTTTGCCTGTGTGTTCCCCGGCCAGTTGCGACCCCAGGAACTGAAGCCGACATCCACAACTGACATGCCCCATAGCCGCATAATTAACTTCCTGAACTGCCCAGTTCCGTAGGTTTAATTCTTTCAAGTCCTCGAATCTGTGGACGATTTGCATAGATTGACTGATGCTGAACTGTTTTGGATACGCTTACTTCAGACTATCTATCCTTTCGGTCTTAACGATTAAATGAAAGGGTTTGGGGCTGTGACTAAGGATGAGGGTCAGTTTGATTATGCGTTTTTGCACTATTTCGTGCTGTAGCAAATTTGCAAAGAATCACATAGCTTGAATTCTCCGAGGGCGAATTCTAGCTACTGTGATTCTTTGCAAACTTGCTGCAGCACGAAATAGTGCAAAAACGCATAATCACACCGGTCCGCCTGATTCGTTTCTAGCCTAGGTTTATTTGTTATTGTTATTGAATTTCAACATTTGTCAGTTATGGCACTCCCTTCCATTTCTCGTCCGACAGTAACTAAAGCGCTCTTCACTCTTTTTGCCATCCCATCCCGCCCGACGACCAACTAGGATCGCAAAAAGATTGAGGGTTTGAGTTCATCAAACGGTCATTTTGTCAAAGATTTGATTTCTTCAGGAGCAATCAAAGCCGAAATTTTTGGAAGGTCTGAAGCATGCGAAGTTATCTGTTTTAACAATTTCGCCTCAGTCGATTGCATCGATTGCATACAGACGTGGCATTCACTGGTCGGAGACAGCGAAACTGATTGCAAGGATATTCAAGTCGCTGGGAGTGCATTATGTGGTGGATTCGAGCTTCGGACGACTCTTAACACTGTCACTTTCATACGAAGAGTTTAAGCGGCTACCACCAGAAAAACAACCAATTTTCAGCGGAATTTGTCCAGGATTCGGTAAGTGATTCGTTTCACAAGGCAAAATCGATCATTCACGTGGTCACAGACGGCACAGAGATATATTTTCATGCTATGCTTAGTTATTTTCAGCTTTTTTTTTTTGTTTCATTAAACACACCTATTGCCATTTTTGGGTACTACGGATGAAATTTATGTTACATTAGGAGGATAACGCTTACTGGTGCAATTTTGGCTTTTTTCCTGAAATTTAGCATATTCGAATAACTTCTACAGTTGTCGAATAATGGGCCGAAACATTTTCTTACAAAATTGTTATAATTTATAAATTTTGTAATTCTCACTCTTCGTTCATCCGTTGTTAATATACCCTATTTTTTTTCTGTTTATTCTATTCACAGTCCCCGCATTGTCGACATTTTATGGTTTTTATCTCGACATTTTATAGAATGTTTTTGGATCTTCCGTGTATTTTCTAGCAAGTAGTTGAGGCTTCCGAGCGCTGTGAACTTGATTATTTTGTGGGGCTCCTATGAGACCCAGCAGCTGATTTGTTACAATAGTCGAGGGAAGGCTGTTGAAGTATCAGTGGACTTGGCTGTGTCCTAGGATTTAATTGTGTGTAAGAATTTTTCCGGAAACGAAATGTCAAGATTGCCAGCATTGGCAGATCGAGGGGGAGCTCAGACAGCAGTTGTTTTACTGTAGAAAACTCCGTTCGAAACCGTTTCGCCCCCCTCCCCCCACCTCCACCCCAGGAGCCCGTCCTCTCCTCCTCCACAGTCGTCGCCGTAGTTTAGGTCGACTAGCAAGGGGGGGGGGGGCGGTGTAGTGACAAAGGGAGAAGGGGAGGTAAAAAAATCGCCCCCCTCCCCTCAAGAGACCACCCTAGATCCGCCTATGATAGCCAGTAAGCTAACCACCAATTGATACAGCTGTGGTGAAAGCAATTGAAAGTAATCAGATTATGAATTTGAATAGACTTAAATATTTAGGCGATGAAAATCTTCCAAAGAAAAACGTGCATGCTATCTGACAAAAGCTCTTTTTCAGTGTGTTATGCCGAAAAAACTCATGGCACTTTGCTAGTCCCGCACATCAGCTGTGTACGATCTCCACAAGCGATGATGGGTGCTCTTGTCAAAGATTATCTGGCAAGGTATATCATTTTGCTACAAATCAACGGTGTATTACACAAGAGAATAAAAGAACTTAAAATAATGTACTAATGCAACTGTTTCGTGCAGCGTGGCAGCACTTTCAGCAGCTATTGAAATATACCCGGAATACTCGAGAAACAGTGCTTTTTTTAGGAAGCTCGATATAAAACCTGAGGACATTTTCCATGCCGCCGTTATGCCATGTTTCGATAAGAAGCTCGAAGCTTCCCGGCCCGATTTTGGAACGAACTATCGTGAAGTTGATTGTGTCTTGAGCACAAGTTAGTCTCATTCTTAATTTTGTTTTTCTGTCAAGTTGCGTCTACTCATGAGTTCGTTTGGCAGTTTTTTTCTTGTTTCTGTCGCGTTTTGATGGATTTTCTTAAAAAATCGAATGAATTTTGCGTATTGACGTGTGACATTCACTCAAGATTGAGCGAATAACCTGTTTTTTTTGGTTTGTTTTTGTAGTAAATTGGCGATGACATGCCTAGCACATAGGGATTTAAGCCGTAGTTAACCCCCACTCTCCTCCCCCTCCTCCTCCCTCTTCTATTAAGAAAAAAGAAAAAGCAACCCCAAGAAAAGAGGATTATTGATTACTGTACCGAACTGGAGTGCTTTTACTCGAGACAGTTTGGAGTACATCGTTTCCAAGGACAAATCGTGATGGTCTTTGGTCTTTTTTACTATTTTTGGAAAATAGCCTTCTTACTGAGTCATATTATTTCTTGCAGTTGAAGTCAATGAAATTTTGGATGAATATGTGCTAACGGATAATTCATCAGTAGCTCAATCGGCTGCAATTTGCTGGCTTAATGCACTAGAAAATGGGCACGTAATCAGCTCAGAGGGTGGTACTTCCGGTGGTTATGCCGAATATATTGTCAAGAGATTCGTTGCGGAAGCAGCTAAACCACTGGAAGTGAAGAAATCTGCAAGGCCTGTTTCTTTTTATGCGTTTTTTGCAGCAATGCAATGCGAAAAACGCATATTGACGAGAGGTTGTCT